CATTCTTTTTCCCGCTATTTGCTAAATCACGTGGTTTGACAACACCGAGTGAGTGGGGTCGAAGGTCGTATTTCATTACCACTTATCACGAGGAAAGCAAGTTGCACAGTATTTTGTTTTCGTATTTTGTCTTTCATCTTCGATAACATTGATCCAACATTACGTTTGTGAAACATTGTCGGAGTTTTACTGCTGAGTTTAAACCCAAGGTAGTTGTGAAAGCTGAAAAAGAAAGAAATAGAGAAGTGGGCCGTTATTTTGAAGTGGACGAGAAAGCGGTGAGAAATTGGCGCAAACAAAAGGATGAGTTAAAAAGCATGGGCAGAAAGCTATCCAATCGGCACGGAAACGCAAAATGGCCAAACTTTAGAGGAAAATTTACTGAGATGGGTTCTCGACCAAAGAAATTCCGGACACTCCATTTCAACAGTTAAAATCCGTCTCCGAGCGAAGTCCATGACAGAACAGATGCAGATAACGGATTTCAAGGGAGGAATAAATTGGGTTTACCGCTTCATGCGTCGTAAAAACTTGAGAGTTCGAAGCAGAACAACAATGTGTCAGGCTGTTCTGGACGACGTAGATGAAATAAAAGCTTCTTTCCTTCAGCTTACAAGGAAAGTTATTGCAGAAGGGAAGTATTCCCTAAAAAATATTATAAATATGGACGAAGTTCCATTAACATTTGATTGTCCACCGAATCGCATCATCTATACTTGTGGAGTGAAAACAGTATCAATAACAACTGGTCAAGAAAAGAACCATTTCACAGTAAAGCTCGCCTGCTGTGCTGACGGCACAAAGTTGAAGCCGCTCTTAATCTTTAAGAAAAAAACAATTCCCAAGGAAAATTAATACTCGAAGCGTCGTAATACGGTGCGATGAAAAGGGTTGGTGCAACGAGGACATTATGCTCTATTAGTTTCAAGAAATTTGGAAGAAGAGAGAAGGTGCCTTTTTCAATTCCAAAGGAGTACTAATTATGGATTCCATGAGGGCACACATAAAAGACAGTGTAAAGGCGGAAGCTAAAAAAAAAACATCGGTGCTGAACTTAGCGTTATTCCAAGAGGTTTAACAAAAAATCCAGCAACCTCTGGATATTAGCGTGAACAAAAGTTTCAAGTCCCACGTACGTCACCGATAGTGTACTTTATTAATGGAATCGGGTACCGTTTGGACTAAAAAATTTTCCAAACTCTTTTCAACGCCTAATGCAAATTGTTTCAGCTGGCCTTTAGCCACTCCAAATTGCGGTTTATTTAGATGACATAATAGCTTCAAAAAATAACATACATGATCACTTAGAAAAACTTAAACTTGCTTTTAGTAGACTGCGGCAATATAATTTAAAATTAAATGTAAATTTTTAATGTCCAAAATTAAATATTTGGGTTTCCAAATTAGTGATGGGAAAGTTTATCCCGATGACTCAAATATTTCAGTTATTGATAGTTTTAAAATTCCAAAAAATAAAACGGAAGTCAAATCTTTTCTTGGATTAATTGGGGTTTTATAGAAGATTTGTACAAAATTTTGCTGAAAACGCTCTTCCACTTACACAGTTAACTCGAAATAACTCCACTTTCAATTTTGATAAACAGGCTTTAAACGAATGTCTAGCAAAGTTCCTTCTTCAACAGCAATGCACTCCTTCCATGACAATAGGCGCTAGTCCTGCAGAACTGCTGATGAGGAGGAAACTGAGAACTGTCAACGATCCAGTTTTTGTGCAGAGCAAGGAACAAGGTCCAAAGTGCTTTCCAGCAACGGTGATTAATCGCACAGGTTCAGTTTCTTACCAAGCTGTTACAACAGGTGGTGATATAATAACGTTACGTAAATCAAATGTGAAAGCATATTCCAGATCATCTGATTGCTTCTTCTGATCCCAGTATGGCATCTCTGTCGAATGAGTCACAGAGTCCTGAGACGAAAGTACCATCTGTAATACCAGTGTAAATTCTCAGAGTATAGTCGTTGAGAATACAATCTCATAACAAGAATCTTTTTCTATTCTTGTAGCAGAACAGACTTTGAGTGCAAGACATACTATCAACCGGTCAAGCAGCTTCAAAGACTTTGTTCATTCCTAGGGCAAAAGAGGGCTGTGATGTCAACAAAGTTCACTTTCTGTCATCATTAACAAATTAATGAAGACAGTCTTTAGTTACATAACAGCAGAGCCTCCTCTCAAACCAGTATAAGGACAAATTTATGTTTGTTGCTAATCTTCTGTTACCTGTTATACGTTATTTTTATAAGTAGTTATTTTGTTATAAGTTTCTCTACTGTGTAATAAATAACCACACTCTGCCACCACCAACTAATGGGTCAGTGCATTTGATAAGGATATCCCTGTTTTGTTTTTTTCCGCAATAGTTATTATTGTTATATCGCTGGGCTTTGCTTTAAAAGCCAGACATCATAATGTATGTGAATGTATAATCAAGTATTTTGGAAATGAAGAAAAACTATGTATTATATTAGGGTATTAAATCTCTGGAAGCAGGTTAAGGTATTATTTCAACCTGGAGCAGGTAATGTTTGTTTTCCCTAAATCCCTTTCATTAATTATTTATTCCCTGTTTTCAAGTTCTCTTTTTCCCGCTCTGACGTACGAGCGAACCACCAATAGGTAGTAGCTATAGCTGTGACGAAATAATGTCGTCATCGAACCTGTGCAGCGTGGACGGTGTGGCGCGCGATCTACGAAGGGAGAGTTTTTTTTTTTTTCTCTCTTAGCTTCCCGAGGTGATGGTCGTGACTGGCGCCTGCAGGGTCCGAATCAAGTTAACGCGGCGGGACGGACGCGTCCCTATCTCCCGATGGACATCACGATAAGTTTTCCTATTTCTTTTCATATTGCTTCGTTTAACGCTAAATTTAAATAAACTAATTTATTTTTTTTTATTTATTAAATCCGTAGGATCCTATCAAATAAGTAATTCTAATAATTAAACTTAACTTCGTGGTAGCTGTGCCACGTGCTCGCGCTAATTTAACTTAATATGAAATGAAAACTTAATATTTTTTTTTATCTTTCCCTGCTCCAGAGAATCTTTTTTTATTGTATTAAAATGATTAGTAATGATTTTCATTGTCATGTTTAAATTAGAATGTTAAACCACATGAGGAATGTTATACTTAATTGTTTTAGAATGTTAAACCACATGAGGAATGTTATACTTAATTGTTTGAGCTGAACATGATTAATATGATTTTCAATAAATATTGTAATTTTATATAAACTTAACTCTCATTTATTAGCAGTTATTAATTGATTCACTTTAGGCAGTTATTGTGATTTTAGTAGCTTTTAGTTATATATTTGAATATTTTCCTGACAGGCTCGAACCTGATTTTAGATTAGCTTAAATAATTTATTTGGAGGAAAATGCTTGAATTACTTTGATTGCATAAAAATAATAAAATATTAAATCAAGATAAATAATTTTATTAAGAAATCTAAGCCTAGATGCAATTAGATTTAAGTATTAGTGAAGCACGTGTCGATCCACACGTGTTGATTTAGACTTGAACTAGAATAGTAAATTGTTAATTCTAATTTTTTCTTAATTAATTTCATAATTAAATTAATGAAACGGTTCGATAGTGATGAGTAATTATCAAGGAATATTAATTATTTTTCTCCACTAACTAGTTATTCATATTCACAACGCAATTCAAATTAATGAGAGACACATTTTTAGGTACTGTTATATGTCTCCATAAAGCAAATATAACATTATTGTGCCACATACCTTGCTATGCTAAAAGGTTTTTGCTGAAAAATTGTGTAACTCTAAAACAAATTAATGATTTTTTAAACAAACAATAATTTTATTTAAATTAACAAACAATGCAACTAAGCAATAAATTAATTACTAGATTAAATTACATTTTTTAAAGAAGCTATTGCACAGCCAAATCTTTGAAAATATACAACATCATAAATCATAGATTAACAACTTATCCTTTATAATTTGGCTTATGAACTACAGTAAACCATATAACATACCTATGATCAGCAAAAATAATTGTTCCATCTAAACTGTGCCGTGTAATGTATTCATCAGCAATAGCTTCTTCAAGAGACAGCTGATTGTAAGGATCAGCATCAACAACTCTGATGAAGGCTTTAAATGTTGGTGAGGCTAGCAAATTTCAATAAGAAACTTAATTAAAAATAATATACAAATGATTCACTAACAACATTCACACTAAGTTGAGCACAAATTTTTAGAAAACTGCATAAAAAATATTTTTTTGTACAAAAACAAAAGTAATGTCATTTGTGTCGAAAAAGAAATGGGGAAGAAAAACTGATTTGTTAACTAATTCGTTTTAAAATATTTGTTTAAATATAGGATAAAAATTAAGGAAAATCTTTTCCACTAGTGTAAGATATGAAAATTCATATCTATAATCATGGCAGTTTTAACACTAATCACACCATAACAGGTCAAAAGACCCGTTTTTGTATGTTGTATTGTATTGAAAAGTGTTGGTATGTTTAGTGTTAAATATAGAAAAGTTACTTATTAAAATTTAATATTATATATATTCATATTTTTTAAACATATAAGTTTATTACCTTTTCTTGGAGAATTTTCAGAAGCACTTTCCTCTTCAATTGGAGTCATAGCACCCATTATATGAACAAACTGATAAGTCTGAACCTCTGATCGAGGTTGGTTTTTCTCCTTCATTCGACAGTAAAAAGAGCATCGAGGTATTTTGTTAGTGCAATCTAAAAATTAAAGCAATCAAAAAGAATAGCAAATACTAAGTGTACCTTCATTTCCAAAACAAAATATTAAAATACGTAAGAATTTAAATTCACAATTCCTGTATTTTTCATTTTACCTTTTTCTTAACAATGCCATCACAACGACACTTAAAAAATATAGGGTGTTATTCAATCTGGAAAAATGGGAAAAACCAGGTAGTTCAAGATAGACATTAGAAATCATTAAAATACCATAGGTTTGATAATTTTATTGAAGTATGTATAGTATTTTTATCATTGCCTTTGGGAGTTCATATGATTTTTCACGTTAGTATTTTTAAAATTTCATTACTTTATTTATGTTTGAGTTATTTTTGTTGCAATTAAACAGAATCATATTTACAATAAATTTTTAAACTGCGAGTAGGTGGACAAGTAGAAATTATTGTACATAGGCTCATATGAGACTGTGATTAATAAAAGTGTATTACTGGAGAACTGAGATGTTATCATTTAAAGCAATTTTGAAAGGTAAAAAAAAAAAAAAAATAAATAAATATGACTGTCAATGTGCGCTGAGAAATCTAAAACATAATTTATTAAAGTAGATAGAAAACTGTCTCTCTTTCTCAGTTGAGACTCTCATTCAGAGTTCACATGCTAGCACAATACATTGTTGCTGGCATGACGATCAATAACTTCAACAGAACAGGGAACAAATTGTCAGAATGGCAGTAGAATGTTATTAACTTTATTTTGCTATAACTTCAAACAAACTCTAAAAGTTTATGTTTCTATTTGGTAAAAGCGGTATAACAAGAAACAAATTGAATTTAACAAAGCAAATTTTTCAGAAAAAGGAACAAAGCTACAGAGAAATAGAGAAGACTTGATTAATTGATATTTAAACATCTATTTACTCACCTTTTTCTGAAAAGGCAAAAAGTAAACTATTTAATTCAGATTTAACCATTTCTACATCTTCTGGGTGAATAAACATATAAATTGTGTGTCCCACTATGTCAATCTAAGCAAAAAATAATAAATGTATAAAGCCCTAAGATATAATTTTATGTTTATAAAATACATAAAAACAATATGTTAAACACATTCTGCTGCAAAGAAACACAATAAATTGAAAAAACTTTTCTGAAAATTCTAGGTAGATCAAATTTTTTTCAGAAGATTTATGTTTTTTATAATTGGTAGCAAAGACAGCATTGTAGAATTTTGATAATGTCTGCAGACTATTTCTAGAATTTTTCAAATATCTTACTAAAACAGGGAAAAGATTTAAAATAACAAGCGATCACTAAATACTTCAATCTGTGAAGAGTTCTTTACTAAGAGTGACAAAAATAAGTTTTCTCATATATTTCTTCCAAATGGTACTTAAGTTGCTAATTGTTTTCTTCAGCATTAATTCATTGCCTTTTTTGTCGTTTTCCTATGGTTTTACAAATTATCATACATTTAATATCACAAGCGAGTTTTAAATTTGAGCTATCCCTTTTTTGAAGTGTTTGATTTGCGCTGATTCCATCGTAATTTCAAAAACTAATTTTCATTTCGAGCCCCTTTCACATGTTTTTTTTTCTATTCTGAAACTTTGTAGACGATATGTACCAATTTTGACACTACAAAAGAATAAAATAAAACTACAAAAATTCTTGTATGGTTAAAAATTGCTTTTTATATATTAGGACATTTAAATATACCCTAGCACATAACAAAAAGGATCCAAATTTGATCGGCATTAAGTCATCTTCTATTAAAATTAATTGTATTCATGTCTTTTCTATATCAATTTATATGCTAAACACATATTATTCATTAATAATAAATGAACATGCTAAGGCTGATAAAATCTTACATCTTGATGACCAAGATAACGCTCAACACTTCGAGACGTAAATAGAATTTTTCCATTGGACTCTGCAACTAGTAGAAATCCATCTACAGACTGCAATTAAAATTATACATTAATATTTTAAAATAGAATAATTACATAAATATAAAGTTATAGTATTTTTACCTCAAGAATATCTCTAACTTGATCAGGGTTTAAAAAAGATGGACACCATTTAAAAGATTTTAACCTTTTTCTTCCACTTAATGGACCTATTAGAAAAGCAGTTTTTTAAAATGTTGCAATGGAATTAAAAATTACATTTATATATGAATACTAAGAATCCCAAACTGTCATAAGTGTGGGAAAAAAATTTCTCCTTCACTGCTGAACTCACAAATACAAAAATATTTCATTATTTTAAGAGGGGATATATGAATACAGATAAAAGTAAAATTTTAAAAGTGGAACACAACTTTTAATGATGCCTTAATTATTTGTTATTTTTTTCGAAATGGAAGTCTTCAACAGTATTAAATTATCACGAATGGAAATGCTTCTCGGAATGAAACCACGGACTGTGAGGCTTCGTTTCGGGAAAGGAAGTCGACCCTGTAGACCAGAGGTCACCAAAGTGGTCTATATAGATCCTCAGGGGTCTATTTAACATAAGCGGGGGTCGATCCGAACCGGAAGGGTCGATTGGTCGAAGGATTATCAGTATTTTTCAGATATGTGACAAATAGAAATAAAAGAAGAAGACTTGGAAATATATACAGGTAACAACTATCATACAAAAGTCAGCAATTAAATAACACTAAAAAAGAATCGTATCAAAATTCAATATTTGGAATACTAACAGAACTTTAACCTAAATTATCAAAAAATCTAATTTAATAAAATAGAGAATTGCATGGCCTCATTTTCAGCTCAAACATATAACTAAAATAAAACAATTTAAAAGAAAAAATAATTAAAAACATATCAATCATTCTAAGATAAATTCTCATTGAAAATAAAGAACTGACATATTTTCTTACTTTTACATATTCTTAAATATGCAGCACTCAACCTCAAGATACTTGTTTTATCCATGCGTTTAGCTGCTTTCGAGACTATTGGGACAATTGTTGCAAGCTCACTTATATAACCATTCAGTTTATCCCTTCTTTGTTTTTCAGCCACATTCCTCTGAACACGTGCCACAGCGCTGAAATTAAACCATATGAATACTGTTATTTTAATTAACTGTGTTAATGTATTATCTAAATAGTCTGTTTTAAACCTTATAAAAGTCCCGCAGTGGACTGATCGTTAAGACACGGTTCCCAGCAGATCACCGAAGTCAAGCATCACTGGCTACGGTCAGTGTGCGGGTGGGTGACCACTTGGATCAGTCTGCGTCGGGACCGAGGGTGTGCAGTATTGGTCCTCGTTAAACTGTGCTACCGTAAAGTGCTTGACTTCGCGAGCAGGTCTTCGGGCTACCGAAGCGGGGGTGCCATCCCTTCCGCAGAGGATCAAAATTGTGATGGCATGTCTTCGGATCATCCTCCGGGATGTTTCCCAGACCGTCGCCAATAGCCCATTGTGCAGCTCTAGTGCGACGTAAATGAACAACAACAACAAACCATATAAAAAGTAATTTTTTAACCTGAAAAAAAAACTGATAATGTATTGAATGAGAAGATTCATTTGCGCAGCAATCAAGCAGGATCCAGCCATGTTTAGCATTTGTCAAAGACTGAGTTATTACCAAAGATTTCACAAGTACATGTGTGAATACTTGTGTAATAGTTATTGAAAATTTTTTTTATAGTTATGGCATTACATTGTCATGCAAATTAATAATTAATGTTTGTGTTATTGTTTGCCCTCAAATTTAAGCTTGAGTTTAATATTCACTTAAGTATAATTGAAATCCAAAGTTGGAATGTTACAAAATCACACATTATTTTATAATTCATAAGAATCTCATTTACGTTATTTTGGAGGAAGAAGAGGGATCAGGACTGGAGGAAGAAGCAGATGCATCACTAAGATTTGTCTTTTCTTCCATTTTAAACTTCAGGGCACTGGAAACCAAATAACTTCCACTGAAATTTTAAAATAAAAAATAGATAAATCATTAACAACAATACACTAAACAGAGTATATTGACTTAAACTAATTTAACCCTATTGTAATGTTATGCATTACTAGAATCTGAAATTAAGTCTTTAATAATATTCATATTATTTAACGGTTGAAACATGATACTAACTGAATTGTAAGTATTTTTCAAAGTGGCAACAGCAAATTAAATGTAGATGTTGTAAGATCCAGTGGCAGAAACACCTAACATTGGCGGTGACATGACAGTTTTTGTCTGTGCTAATAAAACTACAATACAGAACCCGTTATACGGAAATCAGAAAACCAAAAAACCGAAACGAAATTTGATAAATTTTTCCGCCATTTTTTTTGTAAAAAAATGTTTTTTTTCCGCTTAAGATTTTTCTTTCTTTTTGGAATGATGTTTACCTTACCATCATTTTGGAAATAATTATAAGTGTATAACTTCATCACTTTTTCTTTTTTCTTTTTTTTAAGATTATTTCCAAATAATTTTTTTTTAGTTGGGTTTAACAATGAAAAAAATGGCTTTTTGTAGCGATTCAGAAAACCGGAAAAATCAGTAATCCGGAATAGCGATGGTCCCGCTCGTTCCGGATAATCGGTTCCCTACTACTGTATTTTTAAAATTCTTCGTAACTTTCGGGCACATTTTTCTTGTGGCCTGTTCTGCAAAATCTTCGGAGCGGGATCTGCACGGAGATCAGGCAAGAACATACATTGCACTGCCCGCAAATACCACCGTGTCAAGTTAGTGGCACCATCCCTTGCATTGCGAAACGGAATGGAGGAATCAAGTTTTATGAGCAACTTCACTGTCCTTGTGACCGCTCCGTTCTCTGCACCCAGTACTTTCCCTTTCCTGCTTCCTCTGTGTTGCGTTTTGAATGCTCGCTAAGAGATCAAGATTGTATGGAAAAGAAACAACATGCTAAAATGTCATCACAAGACAAGATGTGGTGGTTTATAGAAAACCCAATGTTAGCATTGATGAAGCAGAATTAGCCAGGTTACTCACTGAAGAAAATTTCAATGATATTTTGATTTTTATTTCTTTTTTGTGTGTGTATACTACTGTAGAATAATTCAGAAAGATCGCGGTTCATATATTTGTTACTTAGCGAATGGATGTGCAATAAAATAATCCCAAATTGTTATGTAAGGTGATGCACTAGGATGAAATTTAGCTTCAAGAAAGCAAAATTAGTGAATGTCTTTCGATGATTGAAAACTACAGTGTGAGATCTGCTGCTAGAGCTATTGATATACCTATCTCAAATTTACATTCTCACTTAATTATTAATAATCACTGCACCACACACTTCAAAGAATTTAAAATTCAACACCTTTTAAAAGATTTTGTAACAAATAAATTTCATATTTGTGTTTTAGTGGTTGACTTATGCAACGAATATAGCAGAAATTTGCTATCTGGTAAACAAATATAGAAGTATACTTATATACTGGAATATACAGAACTATAAACAGCAAGTTTATACAAAAAAAGACAAAATTTATTGTTTAATATGGTAGTTCTTAAAAATTTTATCTAGCTTCTAAGATTTTATAACTTTTGGCAAGTCCCTGTTACTCCTAAAACTCTTTCACAAAAATATTTGGTTTATAACTGAAATTTACTTAAGTAACAGCAATATTATAATGGTAGTTGGAAAACTTACTTTCCTACCTTCATTTTATTACATTACATTAAAATTCACAATAGTTTTGGGGGGACAACAGAGATAACACAAAAAAATTTGTCTATAGTGGAGACATCATTTATTACAGAAAACACAGATCTATTACAATAAAAAAAAAAATCAAAATGCAACTAATACAAATAGGGATTGTTTATCTTACTTACAATTACTGGTCTATAGTTCATGAAGTAGCTTTATTTACTATCCAATAGTAAATGTCACAAAAATATATATCCGAGTAAAAAAACAGCATGTTTACGTAGCAACACTTTATTTACAAATCTGTACACTCTTAAAACCTTCTACATTCATTTCAAGAACTCATCAAGTAAATTGCATGAATAAAACACAGGAAACGATATCCCGACCTATATACACACAAGTTGTTTGAAGCAGGACAAAGGAGGATTTTAGCCGAGCTGAACAAATCATTTAAGAATATAATAAGTCAAATGCATTTTAACTAATGCTTCACTACAATTTATTCAAAATCATTCAATTGGCATGACATTTGATAAACCGAAATATTAGTACCAAAAAGAAAATAAGCAGCCCGTTATCTGTAGCCAAAACGTAAACTTTATTATTCTTCGAGTTAAGAACTTCGACTTCCATTATCTCCAGCGTTTTAAGCCGCTTTAACATGAAAGCTATTTCGGCAATGCGTTGCAATATTTGGATCGATTGTGGCCAATGATGTGGCCTATAATAAACTTGTCTTGTTTCCGCAAATCTTTACATATAATAAAATTAAGAGTGAGAATTAATTCCGCAACACTGGAATTCGCAATTCAAATAAACTATAGGTGGCGCAGGTGTCTCGGGCAAATGGCGTCAGAAAAAGGTAATACAATCTGAGGTTGTACCTGTTTCGTTCGTTCGTTCTTTTAGGTTGTTCGGGGTGCCTGAGGCCGGAACGGCCCTTTACCCCTTCATCTTGTGATAGGTTCAATGAGGTAGTTTCTTAAGGTGGATAGTGGGATGATGATTCTAAGTAGAAATAAGATGGTGGCTTGGCTGAGTTGTCGGCGTCATGGAGTAGTGAGGATCACTATGTCTTGTTTTCGGGAAGTAGGGATCGGAGTAATTGGACTAACTTCTCGTTCTGTAGTAGTTCTTGCAGCTCCCGGAAGATCTGCAGGAATCTGTTTGCAGTTTCGCTGGCACTCTTGGGCTGTCTCTGCTTCTGCTGTGGTTTTCTCCTTGGCCTGGCACCGCAGCCTGAAAAACAGGCAGGGTGATCTCCATCGCAGTTGATGCAGGTAGCAGGAAGGCTTTTGGGCTTGGTGCATTGAAATGTAAAATGGGCTCCCGCACACTTCATACATGCAGGTTCATTTGGACAGTTCTTTTGGGTATGGCCAAACTTTTGGCACCGATAACATTGGACTTCAAAGCGACCTCCTCTAAATCGCTCTATCTGCACGGTAGTAGAAAGAAGCTGCGTGATGTTGATGCATTCTCTATTCTCAGGGCTGTCTGGAAGTAGGATCAGGAAAAGGGGGAGGACCTTATATCCTTCGCCACGCCTCTTCTTGAACTGCTCTATTCTGATTGGCCGATGACCGCTAGCTGTGAGTTCTTCTTCCAAGATGGGAATCTTAGAGTCTATTGGGAGTCCTTTAACTAGGAATTTGAGTTTTCTGCAATTCTTCTGAGGAATTTCTATCTGATCTGTTGTCTCATCTGGGGATGTGGCTACGAGATGTTGTTAGTAGTTGGGATGTCCATATTCTCTGTGGGTTCTGGAGTGGGAGTTTTCTTCTTCTTTTTCTTTGGGGCTCGGATTCCGGTTGTTCCGTGGAATTTTCAGCACTGATTTCAGGTGTTTGCTTGGGCTGCTCTGGTACTGTTTCAGTTTGAACTGTAGTCAATTCAGGTTCAGGTGTCTCAATGGCTGTATCAGTCTTTGCAGCTGCGGCTTCCACCATCGTCTGAATAGCTGGGGAGTCTCTAATACTTTTCAATATTAGCATCTCTTCGGCTAAGAACTTCTTCTCGTAAAGGCGTTCGATGTGAATGGTCGAGTACTTGTTCGTAACCTTTAGCAATCTCGGCATCAATGTTGATCGCTTGTCTTTGTGCGTGCTCGAAGTCTTCATCGAAAGAAGTCCCATAATTCAATAAAAAGGCATAACTCCTCTGTTTCCTTCTAATCTCAGCGAAATCCAGTTCTGGTTCACGTTGAGTACGGAAGGTCTTCTCTCCGCGGCCGGAACGATGGTTTGCTATGATAGCGCAGAGCTTGGTTATAATACAACCTTACTCTTCGGAGTCTGGAACGAGAATGGTGGTGTACCTGTTTCCCAGTGTATAACTGAGTGATAACTGAGCATTTTTGTACTACCTAGCTTAATTTTATGGTCCAGTGATGGATTTTATTAAATTATTAGATATTTTAGCATGTATCTGGAAAGGGACGAAAAATCCAGGAGCATCACTGAAGGTGAAAAAATAATTAATTCAAACCACATTCTAACGTGTGGTGTTGTAAAGCAGCCATTACCGCGGAAAAGAATCATTTATGCGGTTTGCCTTCGTTCTACGAAGTTAAATTCTTCTCCGTATGTAATTGAAGGTGCTTTATTTAAAAGAATGTCTGGAAATGGATACGGCATATCACAATTTAATTACAGTTGTCCTGCTGGTGCTGGACGTGTCTGCAAGCATGTGGCTGCAGTGTTGTTGTATTGTAACAGGTAATTGGGTATTCTCTTTTATGTATGGTTTATCAATTTTGTTTCTATTAGTTTGCCGAATAATGTGGCAGAACTTCTAGATAATGTTTTGATATTCAGAGTATAGGCACGTTTTGTAAACGTGATCAACAGAATCTCTAGTAACGATCTCGGTAATATTAGTATCTAGATTATACTGTGTAATCCTGAATTCAAAATGTAGACTTTTTTCAGTAATTTGATCAACATAATCATCTAATTATGGCCTCAGTAAAATTAGTACCCAGATTGTTATTGATTAAAAATGCATGGATGGAAAATGCCAGGTTCATTGTATCTTTTCATTCCTTATAGTTTTTTTGTGAATTTATGCTTTGAAACATATTTATTTAGCAGATATAACCAGCCTAATTATGCATAATTAGGCTGTTGAAAAGTGTTCAATTTAATTGCTGAGTTATTAGCCAAATTATTTACTACAATGATTTTTTTTCTTATTGTAAGATCAATTTGCTATAACTTTTTTAAAAATTTTGTTTTGCATTTTGCTTATCAAATCTTAGTAACTTAGTTTATTTCATTTCTTACATTTCTGATTCATTAATTATTATTCAGTGACTAGAATAATAGTTATGTTTCAATTCAGGTCAATGTTAGGTACAAAAGGTATTCCACAATTATTATATACAAATCCTTGTATAAAATTTGTGTGTATAAAGGTCATTGAATCATAGGGTTTTTTCTTATTATTATTGAAAATTCATTGAATGAAAACTTTTTGGTTATATAATTTTTTTCTAATTTTAGGCATGCAGTTTCTTCGTTAGAGGAAATATCTTCTACTGATAAGTCTTGTTATTGGGATAAGCAGAAATCCTCTCTAAAAAAAATATGACATTGTGCCTTTGCAAGACTTCTGTTGTGTTTCACAGAAAAAAGATCATGTCGTCTCTCTCAGTGAGGATGTTCTTGGCTCTTATGAGTTAATGATTTTGAAAGCCTGTCCAAATTCAGCTCTCGCCAGACATAAAGCTTGTTATTTAACAACACCAAAGCCTATTCTGTAAGTTATTTTTCATTTTGGTGCTTTTTTTCGATAAAAGAATTGCTAATTTATTGCTCTAAGAGCTGATTACTGAAATACGGAATTGAAAATTAATTTGACTACAAATTTAAATTTGACTTTTTCCTACACATGTATTATACATATGTTTGTTCTTGTATTTTTTTTTTCACTCGGCGACCACTTGTTAGAATGAGTAAATCAGTTCTCAAAAAACGTTGTCTCGCAAAATATAAAATTGCAAACACCAAACTTTCCCCGAAACTTTTTCTGGTACCGGTTGAAAACATCCTCCTCCAATCACAGCACTGCCGACGCGAAATCCAAAACCGATCAGATAAGATTGTTTTATTTATTGATTCAAAGATTAAGTTGGGTGTTATTGTTTAAATAATTTAAGTGAATAAATTATTTTAAATAAATATTTAATTTTATTTAAAACATAATTATTTGAATTTTTATGAAAAAGGGGGTAGACTAATAGAATGTACGTACTCTAAGGGGGGGAGAGTAAGACCTTATGTACGGTAATGTACGAAGGGGGGAGGGGGTTAAAATTTCTCCAATTTTGTGTACGTACTTTTTGAACGGCCCCACACTACACTCTAAGGGCGCGTTCCTTTATTCGCACAGAGTGCACTGGTTCCACACCAGTCGTTCCAAAATTAAACGAGTTTTAAACCGGTGCGAAACTGATCGTTTTTTTATTCGAACTGAAATTGGTTAGTGTCGCACGAAGTGCACTAGTTTGAAAGTCGGTGTGCTTGTTGAGAATACAAATTAAAAATGGCCGGCAGTTGTATAGGAGAAATGGATTTTTATCATCAGTGTGGTAATTGCAAGCTTTTAGGCCGAGAAGAGGAAATTAGAGAACATGTGAAGAATTGCCCTACAGAAAGTGAATCTATTAATGATTCTCTTACTTTTGGTATGTTATATAAAAGAATTATGTTAATGATAAGGTAAATTACGTACTAAAAGTTAATATTTATTATCTATTCCATGATCTATTCTTAACTTCCAATGATTATTATTATGCATATATCTGTACGTATGATACTCTGTTGAAGAGTGTTTATGTATTTTTTAATATATATTATTATTATATGAAATTAGTAAGTTAATTTCGTTTCATTGCTATTAATAAGAATTTTTTGAAAATATTAATGAAACACGAAATAGGTATCTCTCAGACCTCTGTACTGTATCTTAAACACAACATCATATGCCTGACAAGCATTTACATATATATTCTTAAATTCATTGCATGTAGTGAGTGGTAGTCAAAATCAGATTAAGCTTTTCGTGGCGGGTAGCCTTTGTGTGCTCATTCAGGGCGTAGTGAGAGGAATTATACTACGGGATAGGGGTTTTACACCACAAAGTTTTTTTTTTAAGAAAAAAAATTGCCAATAATGAAGTTTTTGTCCTATATACATCAATTATAGTCTAGTCTTAAAATTTTGGAGACTTTCAAATAGTTTTGTTATTAATTTTAAATTTTTTTTACAGACTCTTGGGCCGACCCTGACGAGCCATTGTCTGGTAACGTATCAGAAGGAGAAACCAGCGAACTGTTGCAAGGGAAAAATGTGTTTGCATGGAGCAATTCTGCTACACTGCTTTTGCTCTCTATTTATAAGGAGAAGCTGGAGCGTTTCAAGTTTAATAAGAAAAAAACAATATGGACTGAAATAGCTACAGCTATGGCCAAGCACGGCTATCAATTGAGTCACATCCAGTGTGACAATAAGATCAAGGGACTGTTGTCCAGTTACAGGAAGGTGAAAGACAATAACCGGCTTTCAAGTAGCAAGCGCATAACTTGCAAATTTTATGAAGAATTAGATGCAATGTTCTGCAAAGCACCCACAATCAACCCTGTCTCTGCTTCATCTTCCCTGTCCGGATTTAAGGTGCGATCTAATTCAGAGAGAAGAGCTGAATCCTCTGCACGTTCCCCTTCTTCCCCCTTCCTTCCTTCACCATCCTTCTACGGCTCAGGAAGAGCCAAGTAGAACGCCAAATCCTACTCCGAAACGAAAACGTGAAGAGGAAGAGCCTCACTATTTTGCTCTTTTTAGGGAAAGTTGTGAGAAAAGGCACAGGGAAAGGATGGAAAAAAAAAAAAATTCCTTTTCTTGTTAAAAGAGCTTATATCCAAGTTGAATTAATTTATTATTGTTTAATTTCATTTATGTTTCATTTCTTTTCCACTTGTATGTGTAAAATAAATAATTTTGTTCTTAATAATTAAAGTGAGTGCTTGATATGGTTTTTTTTTTATCATATTGTCTGTATTTAGATACGTTCATGAAAAGCCAGTAAAATTAGGTATGTATAAGTTCAGTTATTTTTGGATGATAGTTTTTATTGGGTCAGGCAATGAATATCCAGTGAGCTGAATACATTTGTCTGCATATTAATCATATTTCATCTTTGTGAGAAAAAAGAATGGAAAATTTTTTAATATTTTATGCAAGCCAAATTATACCAGAATAAAGTAGTTGGAGATTTATTGTAAATTGGGTTCGTTAAAAATGTTAATTCTTTGAACTTTGTTAACGCTTAATTTTTAATATATTTTTTATATATTATAATAAATTTTTGTATTTATTATAGTGTTTCTCTAGGTTTACTGTCACCATTTAGTTAACGTCTAGTTTACTGTGATAACTTGTACGTAATTATTACTCTTAACACTAGTTTCCTCAACCAACATTAGTTAGAATACATATTGCCTAAGATTCCACTAACTAAAATAATGTAGCAAAATAATTTTTTTTAAGCTAGGCAACTATATCCCCAATTCAAAATATAAATTGCTCCCTCAGATGTCCCTTTGAAATGTATCATTATCAATTGATAGAATCAATATCTTGTGAGTCTTAGAAGCTTTTTTTTACATTTTCTTTTACTTGCGTTAATAAACACAAATTGTGTTGAAATTTCTTTTGCATTAATAAAGACATTGTGTTTGAAAATATCGCCTCTTCTGATGAGTAATTACAATAATAAAAATGAACATACTGCATACATACAATATAAATTTATTTTCAATTGTGACAGAAAATTTTAACTAAAAGAATAAAATATTTAATAAACACTGCATTCCTATTTATACATTTGGCTGCAGCAAATGCATGTAACTAGAAGATGAAAATATATCCTGAGAAACCTGAAATTTTTCAAAAATTCCATTTCTTAACAAATTTCTAAAAACGACTAAATATACAGTCAGTCACAAAAATCTACATACACTGATCAAAATAAAGGTTTCTCAAAAAGCAATTAAATTTCAATTTTAAAAATCATATCACTCCTTCAGTTTTCTCTAAAGAATTTGTTTTCCATAATAAAAATATTCAGAAATAATAATTTCTAGGTAATTTTGTGATTTGTATAGTAATTATCAAGTCGCAAAAGTCTGCATACACCTGATTGGCGGACGGAAAAAAATTTGCATACGAAGTTATTTTGGAAGATTGTCTTAGTTTGAGGTTACATGTTTCGTTATCTATTCNTTAAATAGACCCTTGGGGGTCTATATAGACCACTTTGGCGACCTCTGCTCTAGGTTTACTAGGTGATAACTTGTAAGTAATTATTACTCTTAACACTAGTTTCCTCAACAAACATTAGTCAGAATACATATTGCCTAAGATTCCACTAACTAAAATAATGTAGCCAAATAAATTTTTTTAAACTAGGCAACTGTATCCCCAATTCAAAATATAAATTGCTCCCTCAGATGTCCCTTTGAAATGTACCATTATCAATTGATAGAATCAATATCTTATGAATCTTAGAAGTTTTTTTTACATTTTCTTTTACTTGCATTAATAAACACAAATTGTGTTGGAATAAAAAAAGTTTCTTTTGCATTATAAAGACATTGTGTTTGAAAATATCGCCTCTTCAGATGAGTAATAAAAATGAACATACTGCATACATACAATATAAATTTATTTTCAATTGTGACAGAAAATTTTAACTAAAAGAATAAAATACTGAATAAACACAAAAATTCCATTTCTTAACAAATTTCTAAAAACGGTTAAATATATGTCTCTTCTAAGAGACAATATGGCTAATTACATGAAACATTACTCAAATTATTTAACACCAGTGATGGCAAGTTCCTTCGAGTGTAAAAACCACCTTAGAAGAAATAGTTCATTCTAATCCAAGCAGAAGAAACTTTTTCAAAAAAAATATATATGCATCAAAATATTTAAACAGATAATAATTGAAATCTAGTTTAAATGATTGTATTCATTCTTTAGCTATTTATTTAAATAAGTAAAAACTGGAAAGCAAAAAAAATTCGAGAATTTTTCCTGAATTTTTTAAAATGCTTAATATGTTGAAGAGTATAGTAAAACATAACTTAATATTTGTGTAAAGAACTATTTAAAACTGCATAATCAAATTTCTTTTGATATCAGAATTCTCAAAAAGAAATATGTAGTTTAAAATTCTAAATAAAGCTAATAATTTTTTTTCTTAAAAAAATTTTAATGTTATAGATTTACTAAAACAGTCCTTGGCCAAATCAGGTGNGCTTTAATTGCTATATGGGAGCCATCAATAGCACCGATGATGCCAGGGAAGCCTTTTATTTCACGAAATTCACTTTCAGCAACAACAGGATCTGGCCAAGTAATAATATTTGGAGCCATCTTTTCCAAAATATAGGATACCTTTAAAAGGCATCTAAATAGGGAAGATTTAGTCAGATCAAATCTGTCAGCAATAGATCTGAAAGGAAAAAAAAAACTTTATTTTTTATAACATTTGAATTAAAATCTTATTGCTTTTAAAAAATTTGCTGAAGAAGGTGATATTTTATTTTAATAAATTATGCAAATATAAGAAACAAAGATTTATAACATAACAGTAAACTCTGGATGAAACCAGCTGCAATAGTTCATAAAATGACTTAATAAACTCCATAATAAAAAAAGCAATTTAGTTGAATTAAAAAATATTAAACTTACCAAAAACTTTCTTGGTTAGCTAATAACCAAATAACACTTAATAAGGCTTTTTCCATCGGAATGCATGGTCTTCCAGGTCCAGGAATTTCTTCCTTACTAATGAGGTTGAACAAAATTTCAAAAGTCGATCTATCCATTCGAAAATGTGATTTGAAATCTCGGTTATTATAATGACGAACAACATCCTCCACATAGTTTTTTTTATGCAAATACGCTTCTTTTCTCTTTTAGCATTTGATAGCCTTAGTAGAGTAAGTTCTTCGTCCTCCTCCTCAAACATCATGTCTGAGATTTGATTTACTGAGGACAGTAGAAAAGCTTTTACCAACTCTCGATTCATCATAAAATATAGTAAATAGGAAGAGTTAGTTAGTTATTAAGTGTTTTTGGCGCAAGAACCAGAAATGGCTATACCGCACCATGAACTTGGTCTAAAAAACGAGTGCTTGGTTTAAATAAAAGGTAAAATTAAATTGAGTTATAAAATCCAATGTCCTTAAGGTACAACAGAAGATTATTAGTAAATAGGAAGAAAAACTGATAAAATTATTAAAAAATAAAAGCGTGAGGTTCAACTATTTCATAAGACCTAAAGTTTACAACTCCTTACAAAAAGCGCTGTAGTCGAACAGTCGGCAGAAGAGCGTCTTGGTTGCTATTGGCAACCACAGTTCCGTACTGATCGTTCCTAAAATATGGTTCGAAACGGAAAACAGTAAGATCACGTGATCGTTTCAAATTACTTTCCAGTTTGCAACCAGTACGAATGAAGGAACTCGCCCCTTATGTACAGTAATGTACGAAGGGAGGAGGGGGTTAAAATTTCTCCAATTTTGTGTATGTACTTTTTGAACGGCTCCACACTACATTCTAAGTATACGTAATTCCACATGAAACTGAATGAGTTCAATTGCAAACTCTTTACGAAGCCCGATTTTTAAATTCTGAGACATTTAAAAAAGGGAATTTTCTCATCGGAAGCCATTGATTCAAAATAAGCCATAGACGATTCAGTTTCGTCAAATATTTTAAAGATAACACCAATGATGTTTGTTAACTTATAAATCTAATCAAAGAAATCACTTATTTCAATTAAGGGCGCGTTCTGAGTGCACTGGTTCCAAACCAGTCGTTCCAAAATGAAACGAGTTTTGAACCAGCGCGAAACTGATCGTTTTTTTATTCGAACTGAAATTGGTTAGTGTCGCACGAAGTGCACTAGTTTAAAAGTCGGTGGGCTTGTTGAGATAACAAATTAAAAATCTCCGGCAGTGATCTTGGAGAAATGGATTTTTACCATCAGTGCGGAAATTGCAAGCTTTTAGGCTGAGAAGAGGAAATAAGAGAATACTAGGAGGCTTCGCCCCCTGCTCGCTGGCGCTTGCAGCAGCTTCATTTTTGTTCACTTTCAGCATTTTGTAATTATGAAAAATATTTTTCTGTACAAGCACATCAGTAATTGTAGGAAATAATTTCCACGATTTATTTGATGTTTCATAATCATAAGTTTTCCGAGAAAATTTTAAATTTTTTTTAAAGAAAAGTCATTATATTATGTTTTTTTAACAAAACACTTGCAAACATTTACTTTTTTTCCAGGATAATTTTTCTGAGTGGTAATAAAAAATTGTTGAAATATAATTTGAGACGAAATTATATTTATTTTACTGCAGGGGTCTGTCCAAGCCGAATTTACTACCGTTTAGCAGTACCTTCACTAATTCAACTTGAGGGATTGGTGTTTTTTTATGATGCAATTTAATTTTTATTTAGTAGTATATATATATTGTACATCAGTTTTCTTATTTATAGCACGCAGCAATCAAAATTTTCTGAAAGCTCTGTTGCTTTATTATGAAGCACAGGCTAGGTCACAAGAATTTTTATATCCCGCATTAATAGTTCCATATTTAGTATGTTTCATAATTTTAACTTTTGTCCTCTATCGAAATATTTCTTTCTTTGCAGAATTTGCCATTTTCAATACTTTCATAATGAATCTTGTCTTAGATGGATAATGCAGGGTTAGGAAGAGAGCTGTAACACAAGTTTAATTACCCCCTTTTGATTAGAAAAGGGCTAGAGGCGTAACTACAAGGGTAAACATGACAAAAACTGCAAGTTTATAGAGGAAGAAATGAAAAAATATTTGTTAAAATAAATTTTGAGACTACTATAACCGAATCACCAATTTCTCAAATGTTCACTATAAGCTACTAAAATAACATTATCTAAATAGGAGTAGGAGCGGAACAACTAAAAAGTAAATTTCACTATAACCGAGTGTTCATTGTAGTGGGGTTCGACTGTATTATCATTTCATTAATAAATCAGCAGCTTTCTGACTTACTTTACTGAAATTCATTCTTCTGTTCTTGAATAATAAGGGTAGTAAGAAATTTGTTAAATTATTCATTCAACAAATATTAATAGTGATTATTATTCGTACTCAAAATATTTGAATACAATTTAATGGTAAATTGAAATTTGTTTGTAATTATATCAGTAATCCTGTGTTGTATTTATAAAAAAAAAAATTGATATCCAATTCTGACATTAATGCTAGATTCAATCCAAGTGCTGTTTGAAATGATATATTATATTTAATGATGTAT